AGGATGTTTTGATCATTAGTATTTGACATTAGGTGGGTGTCATGTGCCCCCACTCTTCAAGTAGTTTGCTTGTTTTAACTTTTAGTTGTCATAAGTTCCTTAAAATGCTTTCTTAGTCCTGATGGTCTTTTATGATTATTTTGGTTTTGGTCTTCCTAGATGAAATGGTCTCTGTTATTACAAAATAAGATGATGCCATCATTCAAAACTACACTGCAAGTCTATCATATCAAAGCGCCTTCAAACTTTTAATCACTTGTAAATATGTGCAAGTAATCAATGGTGTGCGTGATTTGTACTTTTTAGCACCGCAAAGTACAATTCATTGAATCAATTTTTTCAAATACGATAGATGCACAATATTAGTGGAATAGAATCAAAGAAAAGCAACCATCATATCACACGATCGTTTGGATCATTACCCTCTAAAAGAACTTGTGCAATCGGCAGACAGTTAAGATAAGATCAAGAAAACATATGTACGTATACCACAACCCTGCAGACAATGAATGTGATCATACAACACATTAGCTTCAAGACTTCACTGAACTGAAAGTCGATGTAACTCTACCTGACATGATAGAGATCGGGCTTACCGTAAAGGGATAGTTGCTTTCTTGAATGACAAATCCTTCCACAAAATGTGTTAGAATTCTCGGTGATGCACTCCGTTTAGGAACACGGCCAACTTGATCAAGGTGAAGCGTGTTCGCCACCATTTCCATAACTTTTAGAAGCGCTACATATCAGGAATGCGCTCAGTTGAATAGAAATAGGGAATCAGGAACGAAATTCATCGTCAACGCAACTGTCAATATGAAAACAGACAAAGGATGTAGGTCGACAAAAGCGAAAAAACAGCAAATATGGCGACATGTGTGCATCTGAGCCTGCGGTAAAACGTGGACATAGAGAGAGTGTTTTTGTATTTACACGGGTAGGCTAGGAGTACAGATAAAATTGATCCATCTATTTCAGTTCATTTCAAATTTTCGAGTCCAAAGTGTTACTTTATGTGAAATCAATTGAATGTTTGTCTTTAAACGGTTATATCATATTGAAATATTGCTAGACATTGGAAATATTTACATATGTATGTAACACTCTGGGGTCCCTTGTAAGTTTGCGCATTAGCCAGCATTTAACATGGTGGACGAGATGTTCGATGTTGTTGTCGTTGGATCTTGCTTTGTAGACTTGATATGTTATGTTCCTTATTTTCCAAAATTTAAGGAGACAGTAAAAGGAAATAAATTCCAATTAGACTTTGGTGGTAAAGCAGCCAATCAATGTATTATGGCTCAGAAACTTGGAGCAAAAACAACAATGATTGCAAAGATTGGAAACGATCAATTTGGGCAAGATACGATGCAGAATTTTACGAAGTTCGGAGTGAACGTTGATTTTATTTCGGTGACTGATAAAGCAGAGACAGGTCTCACAAGCATAGGTAAGACTTTTCCTTAACTTGGATCCTTTACTTTCCATATATGCACGTGCTTAGTTAATTAACCCGCCTACATCTTGTGTATTCTTTAATAGCAGCCTTGTGGTCTTAATTTGTAACAGACTGCTTTGCTCGGTAAAATATTCCATTTTTGGACAATTATTCACGGTATACCAGATGAAGTACAGGTTTTTTATCTTCCTAGATAGGTTAGCCAAGGTATACACGTATGTTAATTATACAAACTGCAACTTTCTTTTTCAAATCAAATCACTTTTAAGAATGTGGCTTTTGATTAGCAGAGTGATTTAACCTTCATGTCCGTATATTACGCATGGGGTATATGAAACCTTAAAAAAGTCGTATATTTTTCTCTTTTGTCTCTGTTGTGGGGTTTGAAAGGGGTGAACTATGACATAGTAATTAATTTTATTTTTCTTAAAGTGAGTTTACATTATGTATGAGAGAGTGTATCTTTTTCTCCTTTTTTCAGCTGTTAACAATGCTGGTGAGCCGGCATTTATAAGTATGGCAGGAGCAAACAGGCATCTTATAGTTGAGGACATCACGGCAGCAGAAACTGTTATTAAATCTTGTCCTGTTATGGTTTGTGATAAGGGCATACCTCTAAAGATTGCAGCAGCAGCATTGAAATATGGAAAGAGTTTAGACTGTAGAACATTATTTAATCCTTCACCAAAATTAGAGTTTGTGCCAGATGATGTTTATGTGAACACTGATGTTTTAGTTCTTAACAAGGAAGAAGGTGAAAGCTTGACAAGCATTGCAGCATGTGACTTTGAAGGAATGAAAAATATAATTTTGGAACTTCACAAGAGGGGTATTTCACATGTAGTGCTGACACTTGGATCAGAAGGAGCTATCTCCTCTGAAATGACTCTAGAGCACAAGAGTGAGTTATCTGTTTGATTTTGTGAGAAATAGAAAATAAGCTTCATTATAATCCATAATTTCGTTTGTTTCTTTGTGTGTGATTCGTTTAAATGAATTATGTGACTGAATATGCTTCATAGCTCACAGTTTTCCTTGACCTAAACCCTCAGGAAACACTTTGCTTCTTGAAACAGATAATGTACTCAGAAAAATATCCAAGTATTTTTTCAGGCCAAATGAAGGCTACTGTTTATTTGTAACCCTATACTTTGCTTGGCCTTAAGCCTGTTTAGCTCATGATTCCAGAGAAAAAAAGGGATAGAGTAATTAAATAAATAAAACAATAGCTAAGTATCCTAAGTTAAAAGAATTGGAAAATGTTCAGGAACAAAAGATAAATCTGTAAGTAATGAAATTATTCTGATGATGGACTGAAGTGTAAAGTATTCTATGCCATAGTTGACCACTTCATACTCAACCATTCCCCACTAATTCTCAGAGAAGGAATTTGTTTATTCTCTTGATTTTCATTTTATATGCAACATGTGTACTATTATTTTCAGTTCCATTAATGATACATACCAGAGCATCAAAAGTTGAAGCAGTGGATACAACTGGAGCTGGGGATGCCTTAACAGGAGCATTGGCTTTCTACTTGTCATGTTATCCTCAGCTTTCATTTTCTGAAATGGTATCAAGAGCAGTACATATTGCATCAATTACCGTAACAGCTCATGGTGTACAGTCCAGTTATCCTACAAGAGACCAAATAGATGACTGGTTATTTGATGCTAATTCAAGAAAATTTAAGGAGTTAGGCCTTGAATTATTGCACAATGAAGTTATAGAAGATAAAGATGTGGAAAAATGTGAACAGTCATCTGTATTATAAACCTAAACCTAACAGCTTAGGTTATTAAATTGCAATTGTAAACCCAACATTAACCCTTTCACTCCTGCAAGTGACCAAGAGAGAATTTCTCCTTACAATATATATACAATATCAAGCAGGTAAGTGATGAGAATAGAGAAGAATCTCAATTATGGGATTGTTAGAGGATCCAATACCAAATTCTCTGAACTAACATCATAAGAATTGTATGGCAGATAGTAAGGAGAATTACTAATTAAATCTTGGGAATGAAAGGGTTAACTATATCACTATCTCTGACAGACTGTCATATTCTGAAAGACTGTTTGAAAAGTAAACACATAGCTAAGAAGTAAAGCATTAAGGGAGAATATGAAGTCTATGAGAAAATCCTTGAGAGTTGGGCAACGTTTTAAAAATACTCAGGAAGCTGGACAGTTTTATTGCCTTCTTATGTCCAACATAATAAAGCACATGTAATTAATTGGCCATTTTTTCAGATACAAACTGAAAATGTGTTTCCATTGAAGTTGCAGATCCAAATTTGACAACAAGTTAATTTTTAGGTGGTATTTATTGAAATTAGTAATTCAAGTAATCTTGAATTGCTTTGGTTTTGCTTTGCTCTCTTGTTGGCCCAGGAAACTTGGCAATGTGTCATTCTCTAAACCAATCATATTTAAGACTAAAACCAATTGCATTTGTTTATTCATATTTTCCTGTTCTTCAGGCAATTTACCTTTGTTTGCTTAGACTTCTCATTGGACCCTTGTAAAACTTTTCTTTGTTCTGTAGGCCTTTAGGATGACTTTTTTATTTTTCAGCACTTGTCGAGCAGTACTTTATTGCACATGATGTATTTTTTTCCATAGTTGTTTTTCATTTTTGCCATCAAATTTTTATGATACTCCCATACAAAATCTCTTTATGCAGTGAGGCTCAGTGAGTGCTAAGTGGATGGACAGTCACTCATTTCTGCCAACCAGCTCTTTATCTTTTGTTCCTAACCATTACCTCCATGTTGTTTTTGGTTGTTCTTGTTTCCTCTGACCTCCACACCAATGCTATTACTCCATCTTCACTTGTACTCATTCTTCCTGTTTACAAACCACCCACATCCTAAAAGTAAGCTATGTGCTTTAGGAAAGGGCTAAGGCTTGATACATCGGTGTCAGAATCTCTTTGCAGTCAGGGTCGGCCAGGGGGGGTAGTGGAATACCAATATACCCGAAAAAAAATCGACAAAATACCCCAAATTCCTCCAAATATACCTAAAATAATCGAAGCTTTGAATACTTTATACCTGAAATTCAAAGAAAGTGGTATACTGAATACCCATATTTAAGCTGCAATATACCGTATACCCGATTTAAAACGCCCCTGAATACCGAATACTCAAAAACCCTGGCCGACCCTGTGCAGTGGCCACTCAGTAAATACAGCCAAGTTTTCCTGTGATACCTTCTCCCTCTCCTCTCTTCCCAACACAGTATCACAGTTTCTTTAGAAACTTGCCCCCCAGATTCCAACCAGTGGTCAACTTTAATTTTCCCAAGATGATTAAGTTGTAATTTAAGCTAGTGTTCATCATTAAAAAATCCCTGTCTCATCAATTATTTTATCATTTGCTTTTTCCTTTCCATTTTATTCGTATACAACTAACAGATCTTCAGAATTTTTCACTTTTTTTGACCCGATGAGTACAGTTGATGTAGGCGAGTTCAGCGAACCCTTACTCACCCCTGCCGAAGACGTGCCTTCTACTAGCACCAGCCTCTCTGAGGCTATCACACGGAACGCCTTGTAAGAAACATGTCGGAGACGAAGACTTCAATCGCGTGGCTCTTTTTGTTACTTCTATCGGGTGGAAAAGTTTATTGTGCTGCTGGTGATGACTTTACTGAAACTGTTACTCTATCAGGTGGGAAATTCCGCATGGGTAGTTCGTCTGCTGACCCCAAACGCGGAGAACTAGCGGCCAAGAGTGTTGGGGTGAAACCATTTGTGATTGATAAGTATCCTGTAACAAACGAAAATTTTCGGAAGTTTATCCGCGCCAAGAAATTCAAGACGGAAGCAGAGAAGTTTGGGTGGAGTTTTGTGTTTCGTACTTTTGTACCGGAAAAAGTGCGATCGAAGATCACACAGTCTGTCCCGGTAAGTTCTGATTTACTCTATTTCGAAACAAGTGCTAGTTGGAGAAATTTTGTACTTTTAAGAGTAAAAACTTCTGGGGGATTCCTTAGGTTAAAGTTTTCAGGAGCTACCCGTTTCGCTCTCCTGTCATTCTAAGTAGATGATTTTTTCTTTTCTAGTGAAACTAGTGGTCGGTCGACGAATAATTCTAGGAGACGTTTATCTCTTTTTTTATACTTTTGTTTATTCACGTTACTCGTACCTGCTGTCGACCAGACCGTCGACTGTTAAATTATTTTTCCTCTGTGTGTTGATTTTTGCCTTCTTTTGTATCTTCTCGGTCCAAGAAAAATTTTGAATTGTATCCACGTTACATTGTGGCTGGATTTTATCAACATTTCTTTCTTGGGGAAGAGGGAACTAAGTAAAATAAAAGAAGGACCTCGGAAGTCGAGTCAGTTTATTTTACTTAGTGTCCACATTACTTTGACAATGTTCGTAGTAAGTTTCCCAATCTCTCTTAGAAGTATCTTCTAGGTAAGTCACCTCCTTCTACAAAATGTTTTGTCTAACAGAGCCTGATTGCTGGTTGTGCCCACCCATTGAAGTACACATATACATGTTTTCCTACTCATGATAAATTTTCTTTTAGGGCGCTCCATGGTGGTTACCTGTACAGCAGGCATACTGGAGACAGGTAAGTCCATAAGATTTCTAGAGTTCTTGACTAAATATCAAACCTAATAATTCCCATAGCTAAGTTGATAAAGCATTTAACCAAAAAGTCAGGGGTTTCAAAACCTCAAAATCCTTCAATCCCATTCCTGAGACAAACATTCACCACCTTTCTTTAGCTTGTAAGTGTTGGATAAATTTGAGTGATTTGGATTTTTTTCTGTGCCTAGCCAGGAGGTCCAGGTACCTCAATTAAAGAGAAATTGTCATATCCAGCTGTTCATATAAGCTATAATGATGCTCAGGCATATTGTGAGTGGATGGGCAAGCGGCTGCCTACAGAGGCTGAGTGGGAGTTTGCTGTTAGAGGAGGCCTCAAAGGTGTAGTAAAATTAATCATAGGGATTTGTTGTCAAGAACATAGTTAAAACTGTGGTACTGTGCCAGATAAATAGCACTTAACCACATGCACTAGCAAGTTTTGGGGTTGGTTGGGTGATGTTTGGTCAAGCATTCAAAACTATACATGGTTTTGATGTAGGAAAATCGCCATGGTATTGATCATCTCTGGATTGAAATGTCTGGATTCTGATGATCTGCAAGTTGCAATATTTATTGACGATTTGAATTTGTGTGTGGAGTTTTCTCAGCTTCATGTATGTTGCTTTCTGTGCAAAAAGAAAAAAAATCACATTCTTTCTTAATTAATAGTTGACTCCTTAGCAACATCCCTTGTCCTATAACTTACTAGAGACCTGAAAAAGAAGCAAAATTATTGTAATGTTGATTCTTTGCTTGGATATACTGTGGCAGTCTCAGATTATGCATGCCACAATGGATCAGTTCCACATTTTGATAATTTGGAGAAAAAGTTTCAATTAAATGGTTTCACTTCAATTCATTACTCATTTAGGAAATTTTTCCTTGATAGAGAAAGAGTATCCATGGGGATCAAACTTTCAAGAGGACCGCATGAACATCTGGCAGGTGCTATTACTGTCACAATTATGATGTTGGATCTCTTATGGTATTCTGTTTATTTATGCTGCAGTCAACAGCAGTTCACTGCCAGGCCTATAAAGGACATAGTGACTTGCACAGTGTGTAAAATACATTTTTTTTAAAATAACTATTTCAGAACCAGACTACTTAAATTTCAAAATTGTTTGTTACTCTCACAGATTAGATTAGATTATCTAGTCATATTAAGTTTGTCCAATCAACTACACAGAACTGTAAAAGTTTCATTTTAAGAATGCATAAAACATTTTCCTTTGTACTGCAGGGAGAATTTCCTGATAAAAACTCACAGGAAGATAGTCACATTGGCGTAGCTCCTGTAGATGCCTTTCCTGCACAGAACAAATTTGGTAAGTTTATACTTGCAGTGAAATAATTACTATTTCTTTTCCATACAGTTAACTGTCTGTGAAAATTGTATAGAAGTGGCTGAAAGCTGTTTTAGATGCAGTTTACATCGATGCACTAACAAAAGTACCAATATTTTTTCTTACCAATTGTCAGAAGTATTTTTTTGTTACTTAAATAGTTAATAAGATAATCTTGCATTTTGCTGTTACTGCAACTTTCAAAGATGTAATCGAATTTGCAAACCTTATAATTCAATTAAATGCAAACAAAGTTTCAGTGCATGTGATACAGAGCTGAGCTGGTTAAATTGTGATTGTTCTTTATAACTACCTCACTTTTTCCATAGGAATGTATGATATGCTGGGTAATGCCTGGGAATGGGTGTCTGACAGATTTGAAGATAAAGGACAAGAGATAAAATATGTATTGAGAGGAGGATCATACATAGATACTGCAGATGGTAAACATAATCACAAAGTTACTGTCACTACAAGGTAATTACAATTTGCCTGGTTACCTCCTTTAATCTGCTGAAAATCTTTCAGTGACTTGGTTATGATTTGGGGATGACTTTGCAAAATGATCTTAGTGTAGGGATGAATTTAGAAGTAGTCAGAAGCTATTCAATACTCAAAAAGGATGGAAGAGAAAACAATGATCTGTCCTATTCAAATAAAGGGGTTACATTATTTCTGTGTTATGTAAAACTGCAGAGTACCACAATTCTTTTCATGGCTCCCTGACCCCAAGATGTTATAGCCCACAGTCCCCTCCAAAATACAGCTGTTGTAAGAAAGGTTGTTGGAAAAAGGACAAAAGTGCATGCAACGATCTTAAGAGGCATTATCTGGGTATCCAATAATAATAATTCATCAAACCCTTGATGCCTCAACTTCATAGTGATGTTTTATCAGATTTCCTTGAAATCCTGAGGTCAAGTAACCTTAACCTTAAGCAACCCACAATACCTTTTGGGGCTATTGCATATGCTGTTTTTCTGACACCTATAAACAGCTATATACATATGAAATGTATACAAAAAACAGGAGCAGATAAAAATAATTCACTTGAAAGAAAAATAGATCTCACTTTATATATTATTTATATATAGTAAACAAAGTGTAAACTACAGTAGAAAGCCAAAACATACCTTTACAGCTCTGGAAGATCCTTGATTTTCTTGTTGTGTTTCAATTGTACACTATTTGCATTTTTTGTACATTCCAGGATGGGTAACACAGCAGATGCTGGCTCTGACAACATCATGTTTCGTTGTGCTCGGAGAGCTTCCAAGGATGAACTTTAATGACAAGTTTGGGGATTCAATAGACACAACCATCATGAATAGATATGTTGTTATTAGGTATTATTAAATTATTGATTAAAGAAGAAGTGATTTTTACAAAAAACAGAGATGCAACCTGTTGTATGCCTTTGTCAACCATGCTGAATATGACAAACACACTAATGTCATTAACTATCTCCATTTTGGATTTGTTGGTGTTTACATAATCATTCATCACAGAGTGGGTGTGGTGTGGAATAACAGGAAAAAAAGCAAAGCAAGACTATGACAAGTACTACAGTTGCTCTTTCAGTCACTGTCATCTTCCTTTCTGTGAATTTTGTAGGATTTCAATCAGAAGCAGCACTGGTCACTGTGACCATGACAACTTAGTTGTGCATCGTTCATGTTGAATTAATGGCTTCTCACAATACAATGACAACAGAAGGTATAGATTATTCAAAAATACCTTGTACTGTTCATCACTGAAAAATAAGAGTAGATTCCACTGAATTTTGAACTGAGTATAAATTGTGCCATTACAGAAGTGTACTTGATGTTTTAAAAGAGTAGAACAAAATAAGCACTGTTTTCAATAGAATAAAAACCTTAAAGATGACTTAACATGTTACAAGTGCTCTGAAGTATATGGACAGAGAGATCAAAATCATAACAAATTTCTTAAAAAATTATTTACAATACTATTTTTGTAAGTTATGGTAAGACCTTAATGAGCAGACAGTACAACGGCTCTATTAGTTGAATTTGCAATGATGTCATATCTCTAACATTAGAAGAAAATGATACTTAATATAAATGAGTCTCGGAAGGGAAAAAGTCAAAGCAACAATAATCCCTTTCTGAAAGTTATTAAATAAATAATATGGAATTGCAATCTTTTTACACCAAGTCATCTTGCAGATTTTTATTTACAATGTGTCTGAGACTAGTTAGATTGCAATACCACAAAACAAATCACAAATTCACACTTAATGTACTTGGTCACTGGTTCATAAAAAGTGTATTAATAACACACAACAGTCTTATTACTATTCTGTTAGTCATCATCATCTGTGTGTATAACTTCTTGGGTCCCAGCCTATAAAGAAGGACAGTTCACCATGAATAACTGAGACATTAACACAACCATAACATTGTTCAGTCAAATAATTTAAATTGTCTGAGATTCACGGTAGAACTTGTTAGATAAAAAAATTCAAACTACTCTTTTATTTCAGCACTTACTGCTAATGCTTCTTCTTGTCTTCTTTGTTCATAAATCTGTGAATTTGTAAATAAATATGATAAAGTGATAAATCTTTGCAAGGGCTAATACTAAAAATTGTACTCCATATTGTGTACATTAGTGTATGTTCAGTGTTGGTTTCTATTAATAGAAAACAGTCATTATAAAGCTAAGATAGAATTTTATTTTCATGTAGCTCCAGTGATATGATGAATAAATAAGGGTGAGAGTTACTAACCTCTTCTGCCTCTTGTCTCTCATCATCTGTGTACTCATCTTTGTCCAGCCTTTCCAGTCTCCGTAGACTGATCAGCACTTCTATGCGATAATCATCCTCATCTGACACCGGGCATTCTACAGGGATACAAATACAATCATGTATATTCTTAACAAATATTATTTGGTGACATATGTCAGATATATATCAACCTTATTATAGGAAATTAATGATGCATGTTAACAAGGTGAAGAAAACCCAAGTTACACAGAATTAATGGGATTTTCAAAAAGTTAGGATTACATGCATCAAATTAATGCAAATTTTTTTTAAAACGATCTGCATGTTACTTTTTTTTACCTGAATTTGCTGTAATACAAACATCTCAAAATGCATATTTAGAGGAAAAAAACAGCAGCATTTCCAGTCATTTTTAGCATTATAAAGTGCATTGTTAATTTCCTATAATGAGGCATTTCACAGGAAAGAGGAAAATATTAATATTATTGTGTTTGAAGACATAAAAGTAAAATATAGAAAACAGTTTTTATGTTTAAGCAGAGAAATGATCCTTATAGATGCTAAGCAATTGTAGAAAAGGAGCTTAAATAAAGTAAGGCTGCAACAGGAGTTGAACCTGTGCCTTTCATACACTAGTAAGGTGCTACTACCAAACAAGCAATGAAGCTAAATGGTGGGTGCAAGGTAAATTTTAAAGGGTTCTTCTTATGTTGTTAAATCTCCTTTTCAAAAGTATTAAAGGGACGATGCAGTTGAGGTAGCAACGGAAGAAGGAGGCAATATCTCTGCAGCGGCACTTCACTTATCAGTGTCATTATTGAAACTAATGCATTGACTTACATGAAGTTCAGTCACAAAAAGATGGCAGTGGTTATTTGGTAATGAACTAAGAGCAAAATCTTGACCAGTTTAGGATAGTGTAAGAGTTCAAAGTATTGACACACAAATACAGTTCAATTGAATGAAATTCCATTTTTACATTTAAGAAAGATAACACTTCAGGTCTCAATTAATGTGTATCATTGGTGATGACAATTTTTGGTTTACTTACCCATTAAAAGTAATGCCCTCAACAGTGGTAAACATTTGAGTTTGGCAATTTCCTTCATGTCAGTGACATTATTACCCCTGATGAAGAGAAAAACATCGTATTTTGTTTGATCTTTCCATATACTCTCAACAGTGAAGTTTAGAACAGTTTGTGTCCTCAGTTTAAAAAGGATTCAATTGAAACAATTAATGCTTACATGTAGAAGAAAAACTAGCCCATGCATCAGTGCCGATGCTATATATGAACTTGAAAAATTCTCCAATCTACCTTACTTCCTTCTCTGTCATGTTTTACATCAAAAATCCTAAGTTGTATTTACACCTTTTGGTCACTAGTACTCGTATATATACTGTTGTATTGTGCATACTGCCATAAGAGAAAATATAAAAGTATCCCATACTGTGTCACACATGATCTATTTTCTATGAAAGGACATTTCCTTCTGTATCAATAAAATGGCCTGAAAAGTGAAGAAAATATTTAAGGAAGCTTTGGATTGTTACATGTACCTCAAGTTAAGGTACTGAAGGTTTTTCATGTTTTCTGAAAAACCATCCAACTTCTCAATCTGGTTGTCACGCAGATGTAAACTTGCAAGATGTTCCAACCTGTCCAGCCCCTCAAGAGTTCTTATGGTGTTTGCAGCCTAAGAATAATGAAACTTAGTCAATGATGACATCATTGATTTACAACCCCTAAAATAATAATGATATATAAAACAAAAAATAATAATTGAAATAATGATACTAATAATAATAAGTTTAACAATAATAACAAGAATAAAATTTATTAAAAATAGAGAAGAAAATTACCATGGGATGGATGAAATCTAAATGCCTGTTAAAGACACCAGGCAGTACTATATATTGAGTGACTTTGACATGGTTAACTAAAATAACTTGAAGTTAAAAATAGTTAGTTCACTAAGAAAGAAAAGATAAGGGGAAATAATAGGCTTAGAATGAATGAGGATGGCTGGGGATCAAGACTGTTAACACAATTAAATTGCAAATGAGAGATTTAACAAATTTAGAATGTATTTTCAAGATGTAGGATCTAACTTCATGATACATAAACAGTAATGAAAGTACTGCTTCTTTCATTCTAGTAAGCATGACAACACAGCTTTTAATTAAAGTCATCATTTAACAAAAAATACAAGCAGTATGTAAAATCTTACCAAGTATAACTCCTTTAGGTTAGGAAGACTAGAAAGTCCCACAGTGGTCATGAGTTTATTTCCTCGTAGTTCCATTACCCTTAGTCTGTCCAACTTGACTGGATCAAAGCCTGTTACTTCAACTATCTCATTGACTGGTTCAGATTCAAAAGAATATGACAGTTAATGAGTCCAACTAAATTCCAATTGCCTAAAATTTAAAATGTTCCAATCCTCTCACTTAAAAATGCTATTCTGACTGTAAAATGGTTTATTTCTGGATCATTTGAAGTTCAAAGAAAAGTTTTTATGAAGAAAACTTGATAAAAAGGAAAGCAAAAGTCACCTTAACCCTTTGCACCCAAACATCAGTATGCATAGTCTCCATATCCATGACTAAACATTTCCTGAAGTGCTGTCAAGGAGAATTTACTTAACAATCAAGAACTTCCTTAGTTGGTAAACATTTTCTTTCTTGTGACTTAATTTCTAAACTCAGGGGTGATTATATATATTGGAATAAATTAGTTGTTAGTCATTCTTTGGGGCTGCAGCTGCAGTCAGGGTTAAGGCAGTGATATATGTATATTTACAAGCATGTTTGAATTATCAATTCCCAGGTATAAATTTCATTTTCAAACAATATATGTGAAGCACAAGGCTGTTTAATCAAACGATAATGAAATATAGGATTTTAGAATTATATGCTGAATAACACAATGTTATGCTGAATGAATTTACTGAACAACGAACAGTAGCAGATTTGCTTGATTTGAGTTGTTGATGAATCAGGAAGGAAGGAAAATGTCACTTACACAAGGCATGCAAACACATGTATTATTAAGTGAGTAACAAAGCGAATACTTACTAATATGCTTCCCAATTTATTCATTAACAACATTTGTTCTTTCATCATGAAAAACAAATAGATTCGATACTGTTCAGAACACAGATGATGTCAAAATGTGTTCAGAACAACAAAGTGCCACACTAGATGCAGCGACTGTGAAACTGATATTCTTACCACATTTTGTTGAATAGACAACTGGAATAATGACTTACATCTGCACTCATCAATTTATGGTCAGAATGGGTGTTGTATATTGTTTGTGTACCAAAATTCTCCCAAGATTGTACAAATACTTACATGATAAGTTTAATTGTTCTAACAAGGGATGATTGATACCCTCTGTATCCATAATTTTATTGTTGGCAAAACTTGCAATTTGTAGATATGGTAACTGTCAAAAGATAAACACAATAATTATACAGTTTTCACAAATCAAATGCTTTTGAGTCATCTAAATGGAAACCCACAAATTGTGACATTTTCCATTTACTATCTTCATTATGTTACAAGGAAGTCATTGAAGTCTCTATTTTTGGTGATTTACTAATAGAAACTGAACAATGTAAATTACATAGCGAAGAAACCAAAGCAAAAGACGTATGAACAGAAATGAATGTAAGTAAATATTAACCAATCAGAATCATTGACATAACTGCATAAATCATCATAATTCTAACACGCGTTCAGTACCAACCTCATCAAGTTTGGCTGAGTGCAAGGCATTCCTGTCTGCCTTCAGTGTAAGTAGGTGAGTTAATGAGTTAAGTGAAGAAATATCCATCAACTGATTTCCACTGACATCCTGTAAGAGATTCAGCAAAGACATTCCTTTCAATGCAAGCCCTAAGCCTTACAGTTTCCTCCAAAAACTGCTGGTACAAAATTTCAAAGAATGAAAAACTTATGAGAATAACTACTGCTTACCACATATCTTAAATGAATAAAGCAGTTGAGTATACTAATATCTGTCAGCTCCCTGTTGGAAAGTAAACATTAGGTCCAATGTATCAACTATAATTTTTTAATAATAAACTGTTTAATTGTTTGTCTCACAATGTAGTCACTTGAGATGAAGGTCCCAGTGTTTCAACTGCTTACTGCTAGTTTCACCTTGAAAATTGAGAAAGGCAACAAGATTGCCTTTCTTGACATGCCATTTACGATGGAACCAGACAGATGCCTGAACACCAGTGTCTACAGAAAACCAACTCACACTGATCAATACTTACCAGTAGCATATGATTCACACTACCCTCAATCAGTAAAGCCTGGTATTGTCACATGTTCATATGACCAGGCAAAGTGTCTCATGACAAAACCATCAATCATCTCAGAGGAAAAGAGAGATTTGTCATCTGTTCTTTTTTGTAAGGGTTATCCTTCCTCCTTTGTACAGAAGGTTACAAAAACAAGAAATTCGCCAATTGCATTAGATTGCCGTGATACAAATAGTAACAGGTGGCAGTCAACACCATCACCTAATGAAGACTAGTAGTAAGCAGTCTAATTGTTGTAATCTACATCTCAAGTGACCACATGGTGAGACAAACAATTAGACGGTTTATTATTCCTTACCACCATGATGAGCAATAACCTCTTTTACAATATATATTTTTGCAAATACGAAAGGAAGTACCTTACATTAGATTGTCAAATGTCAAATGCACTATCCTTTTGACAATGCTGAATTTCCCTGAAGTATACAGAACACGTACTTGTAATGTATGAACCTGCTAAGTATAGGACTAAGCTCACCGTTGTGTTCACTGTAGCCTGGCAATTAAAGCATCAGCCAGCTGAGAAATGTGGAGGTCAATTGAATTCCTTGCATGGTATTTTTTCTTTGCTCCACACCTTTGACAAAACAATTAAACTCTTCCCTAATATTTTGGTGTTTGAATTTTGTCAGCCACTGAGGATTCTATAAATTATTTTCAATTGGTAAGTCAGAGGAATCAATTAAAAAACCCCATACTTAGCTTTGGTGATGGTTCTCTTTAATTTATAAATCTGAGCGGACATTTCTTATAAACAACAGAGTTATTTCTCTTAGGGGACCGGTCTAGCCTGCCAGTTAAAATAAACTTGAAAGCAATTATAGTTCAAAACACCTCAACTTTCAGAGGCGAATGAACATATAATTTCTCCTTGCAATTATGATACAATAGTACGGGTTTTTGTCATGTAAAAATAAATTCTCTTTGCTAGTTTAAAAGGAATGTATCGTAACTGGGAGGGAGAATTGTTGATCAGATCTCGGTGATAGGACTATACCTCCAATAGCACTTACTTTTCGTGGACGTCAAGTCTTACATATGCATGTGCCAATCCGTCTCCAGTTTTGCACATCAAAGAAAGGCTGTCGGCTAACATTTCCTCAGTGAGGGGATTCTCTGGAGGTTTCTGAAGTCACAAGAAAAGCCGATCAAGAGCGCGCCAAAATGTAAGAGGGTTTGAAAATACTTTCCAGTTCGACCGGCGTAAATAAGTTGTCTTGACCCACTGACATTTTGGCAAGTTGGAAGTAGAGCAAACAAAGGAAATAGGAGGAAATGTTTTGCGACAGAACTACCTCCTCCTCTTCGGTTCCTTCCTCCTCGTTTTCGTCATCTAATACTGGTTCATCGACTCCCTCCTCGTCTTCGAAATCCGACATTTTGCTCTCCAGCTTTTGACTTTACTATGTTACTTAGCAACGATACCTTGGCTTATCTTGAGCAGCCTCAACTTAATGTTTGAGCTCCGTCAAGAGTCTGGGTACTAGCTGAGTAAAAATGGCGGACAAACATAATTTCCCGCGAGCAGCCTCCCCAATCCTTAATATTTCTTCAGCTTGAAGTCAAACAGTATTTTTTAATTTTCGTTTCTTCGATTTTTCTACACTATGACCGCATTGAATTTGGGAAGAAGTGCTTCAAAAAGGAAGAAAGATGCCAAAAAAGAGTTTAAAGTCGATTGGAGCGGCCACGTAAGTTCCCATTTTTCTTTTCTTAATGAGTGAATTTGTATGGCCTAGAGTTACCGTGTTGGAGCACCATTCAATTGAGTGAAGGAACATGTCGAAGCTTTTTTTTGCGTCTTGTCACGAACTTGACGAAGAAAATATTCTGACTCCCCAACCAAGGAATCCGAAGGTGTGAGGTGCGATTCCTCCTGGGGATCGATTCAAAATGTATCTGTTAGGGTTAGATGGGAGAAGGGTAAATTCAACCCTAGGATTGTTTTTTTAAGCTGCTTGGGTTGACTTAATAACGAATGTTTTTCTATGTAAATGAAATTGTTTTAGAGGGTTGAGGTTCATTTTCAACGTATTGTTAATGTTGAAAACATGTAGGGTGAGTATATGCAAGTAAAGGTACAGAAACTAGATGTTCAGTTCAAAGAGGATGTTGGTCCAAAAGGACGCCAAGATGTGTAAGTTATCATTTATTTATTTAATTTTTTTGTTTTCTTTTTGTCTTCACCTTGTTACAAAATATTAAATCGTATTTTGATATAATTTTGCTGTCTACTTGACAAAATGTCTGTAATGCATATACCAAACTAAAGAATTTTTGGCAGTAGAGGTGTTATGTGCAAACAATGAAATGAAAGTTCACTTCTTTAAGCTCTTTAATTATTTCAAATAGATTAAAATTTAATTAATCATGGATAAACAATAAAGGATATTTTTCATGCTAACAAAAATAAGCCTCTCAAATTTCCCAAACCTCCAATTATACAGCTGAGGCTGTGTAACTTTACTTTATTGCTTCTGCAAAGGTGAATTTGACCGTGAACCATTCATTTATGTTATCCTTGGCTCACAGCTCCAATAGGAAAAAATTTTAATTAACTAGTAATCAAGACAAATTTGTCATGTTTGGATTATTGAAATGTTTATTGTTCAAAGATCAAGATTGCGCTTCCCATTACAGCAATGATGCATGGCTACAATAGCCTTACTGTCATTACAGCTACATGCAGAGCCTGGTTGTTCAAAGGTCGGATAACACTATTGACTGTTTAAGTCTCTATCTGGTGGATAATGCCATATGTTTTGCTATCACTTATCCGCTGGATGGCAATTTATCTGTTAGATAGCGTTATCTGCCCTTTATACAACTGGATCCAGGTCTATAAATTTCCAAAGCTATAGATGTAATTTCAACCATGGATTGCTTTGACTGCTACCACTGACAGAATATTTTAATCTAAGAATTATATTGATTAACGCATTGTAATAATATCTCCTTTGTAGCAATGTACCTAAGATCTTTGAGAAAGTAGTTATTCACATCAATGGATACACAGGTGATTCTAATGTTTACAAACAGAGTAACTGATTAATTTTTTTTTGGAATAATAGTTTTTTGCTACATCAATCATTAAGGGCCAATTATATTTATGATTTTCTTTTAATACGCATCAAAGCCATTGTCCACACAATTTCCATGTCCATACATTGTCCATTGTCCGTACATTGCAAAAAGTCTAACAGAAAATTGCTCATAGACATTGGATAGATGCTAATTTTCCTTCTGTAATACCTTGACACCAACTGAAGCTGTGATCAAAATTTAGAGTCTATCACTTTCGATATTTTTACAGAGCCATCAGCAGATGAATTGCGACGCCTGGTATACTCATATGGTGGAAGTTGTCAACAATACTACACAAAGCGTTCAGTGACACATATCATTGCAACAAACCTACCAAACAGCAAAATCCAAGAGATAAGGTAAATTTTACATTGTTAATGATTTGAAATACAAAGATAGGTAAAACCTACTTAAAGTTACTGTAGTTTTTGTGCTATCATAACATCTTTCTCAAGGTAACCTGGCCTGACCATTATATTGTTGTAATGTTAAAGTGTTGAACTACATCCATTTATTTTCTTTTTGTCAAAAGTATTTTGAGTTTTCTTTGGTAAAACCCCTAAAAAAACCATAGATTTATAACAGCTGATGTCTAAGCTAGTTAGGATTACTGATTTGAAGTGGGTCAATTATTTCTGGCTGGGTGAGACAGCTATTTTTGGAATTATTCACAACACAACAAAATTAATAATATTGACAACAGTGTCTAACTACTAATTAAATAAATATGAACATTTTTGAAATTGGTGAATCATGCCATGAAGATCAAATATTCTATCAAATCCTTTGAAACTTAAAGAAATCAATCAAAACTGTCACTGTTTTGTAGAGATGAACTAGTAGTGCATCCATCTTGGATTTTGGACAGCATAAAAGCAGTCAGATTGCTTCCTGTTAATGACTATCTTCTTTATCAACCACGCCAAGCTGCACAGAAGGTTTTGAATTTTACTTCCAAACTATCATCAACTGTGACATCTTCCACACTCTCTTCTGCTGAGGGAAGGGGACACACAACAGTTACATCAAGGGAGGGTAGATCAATGGCAGAAAAGTCATCTTCATGTACCTCTGTACCACAATACACAAGAACACCTGAGGAAGTAGAGTTGCAACACCAAGATATTTGTAATGATAAAGATAAAAGAACTGGTATTACTGGTAATGACTCAATTAATAGGAGGACAGATATGTCAACCGAGACTTATGAAGTCAAAATCAGTAGTGAAATCAATAGTAAAGAAGAAGAAAGATTCAAGATGAATTATGATGGAGACAAAGGTGATGTTTCTTTGCAAGACACTGTAGAGACAACAACCTCTAAAAATAACACTGAAGATTCCATATTGTTCAAGAAACCGATCAGCTTACCCAGAGCTGGTGATGCAAACTTTGTATCAGAATTCTACAATAATTCCAGACTGCATTACCTTTCGACGTGGGGAGCAGAATTCAAGAAATACACAAGTGATCTTATCAAGTCTGGTGCAGCCAAGGGGTGGAAGTGTAGAGGGAGTGGCCGGGTAGGGCCACATGGCCGTGTTATTATGCATATTGATATGGATTCATTCTTTGTTTCTGTAACGTTGAGAGACCAGCCTCATCTCCGAGGCAAACCCATTGCTGTGTGTCATGCTGGGAAGAGCACTTCATCAGCTGAACAAGGTGGGCAAGGACATTAATGGCTTCTTATTTGCAGGGAAAAATGTTGCAATGAAGTTTTTGAATAGAGCAATCTTCAATTGATTGTTGAAAGTAATCCTGGATTGCTTTGGTTTTGCTTTACTTTGCTCTTTGATTGGTCCAAAAACCTGTGACACCATTTCAACCAACCAAGTGCAAAACTTAAACCAATTGCAACTTAGCCACTCACGTTTTCCTGTGCTTCCAGCCGGTAGCCTGTCTTTACCTTGATGATGTTAACCTTTGCTCTGATTGGTCGTTGTGATTACTGTGGTTTTGGTTTTTTTGACGCCCAACTGAAAACTGCTCTATCCTGAATTGAACTTATACCCCATTCACACTTAAACATGTTTTAAACCTGTTTCGTTAAACAAAGTTTATTTTTTTTCTTCAATGAAGCTGCTTAAACCATTGTTTTTCAACTTCAGATGTAGCCTATTGAAAATACAAGTCAGAAATTACTTGAATCCTATGGAGAAATTCAGATTATCAGTTCTCTGTTTCTGATTTTCATTCAGTTAAACACGGTTTAACTAAACATGTTTTGCTGGTGATTATTAGTATATTAGATTATTAGTTACAAGTGTGACATCTTTTGAATGTGCGAGAATTACCAAAGAAAAGAGAAAAATATTGGTCTCAGCAGATTATCCAAGCATTGGAAAAAATTTGAAAAATTTGCTGATGAGCTGACGCACATTTAGGGAGATTTGTTGAAAGAGAAAGTTTCCTAAGAAAGAATTTACAATGTACTTACAGTTTTGCATGAGACAACTAAACGCTTATATTTGTTTTGGTAATTTAGCATCCGCTGGTAACCCACAAATTTCACCAATGAAACCGGCATCATTCTTCAACTCCATGTCAGAGATCGCTTCCTGTAGCTACGAGGCAAGGGCCGTTGGAGTACGTAATGGCATGTTCCTAGGCCCTGCTCGTAAACTCTGCCCTGATATCCACTGTGTTCCATACCAGTTTAATGAATACCGCAAAGTGTCCCAAAGGCTTTATGATATTTTGGTAACCTATAGTCATGAAATAGAGGCTGTGAGCTGTGATGAGGCTTACATTGACGTGTCAGAGGTCATGGAAGGTAATTTGTTTGTACGTCTTGTATATTTGGTCAAGTTTTGATTTTGAAACTTTAGAAACAGATTTTTTAAGTATACCGAAGGTGAACTGTGCCACCTTTCACCTTTTTGTAAAGATAAAATTGAACGTACTACTTGTTTGTTTGCGGCACATCAACAGAGAAAAGTGCCATTTACTGGATAGATCAAATTAGTTGGAATACATTAGTTTGTAGGACAGATTAAAACCAAAGAGCCTGATGCTAATTGTGCCAACGATTCGCAATTACGTATACGTAGGAGTTCCGAATTGGCCACATAGTTTGATTGAATCACAATTCCCATTTATAATAGAATTTTAAGGTTTTCTCGACACCTTTTGAAAATACTCTTGTGTAACAAATTGAACTCCTGCTTCGCGGTCGTTCGATTTTGTTTGTTGATTACAGACCGAATTGGACTCCACTCAGTCCTATTACCATTATTAATAACTATTACTATTAACTATCAGCGGATGAAACACCAACACAGCTCGCAGAGAAGATTCGCGGTGAGATCAAGGAAGCCACCGGCTGTACAGCATCTGTTGGTGTCTCATTTAATATTCTTCTGGCCAGAATGTGCACCAGAGTGGCTAAACCTGATGGATGTTATTACCTATCACCTTCTGATGACGTCAATACTTTTATGGGTACGTTTCTATCTAGAAATCTCACACTCTTAGTACAACTCAGAGATCGTCGTTTTGAGCTGTTTTAAAACACTGAAGAAGCGACTATCTTCATTTGCAGTTGTTCAGTGAAACTTGAAATGGCTTAAGTTATAAGGATGCCTCATGTTATCAGACATTTTTCTGACATCTACTCTACCCAATCCTAGAATCTTTGACAAAATGTATTACCCGTATTTTGTTTGATGCTGCTACTCCAATCATTTCCATGTGTAATGGTCTTTTTGTCGAATGTTTGACTTATGTTTTGTTTAAGCATATGATACTCTTTCGTTATTTACCGCTTTTACAAGAGTATGTAATCACTCTGCACCGTCCTTTGTTTTAATGACCATTCTTTATTGTTGTTTCCCAGGCTCCCAGAAAGTTGAAGACCTCCCAGGAGTTGGATGGAGTATGAGAGACAAGCTGCGAACTTTGGGAGTTGAAACATGCTTTGACTTACAGAAGCACTGTTGTCAAACATTACAGCGCGAGTTCGGACCCAAGACCGGTCTTGTTTTATACCAATCATGCCGTGGTGTTGATGACAGAACTCTTAAAACTGAGCGAGAGAGAAAGTCTGTGTCAGCAGAGATCAATTATGGAATCCGCTTCACAAAGGTAAAACTAAGGCACATAGTTGGAAAGGCTTAAAAGCTAAGAGGTGTTTTGAGGGCCTGTAAGACGGTTTGAAGAATACTGATATGATCAACAGTTTTCTCCTTGGTTCTCTATGAACGCCACACATGTTGAACTCAAGGAAGAGATTATATCACCATTGTCTTTGTGCATGTTTAACAGCTCTGATGAAAGATATCGAGTATTTCTGGGGAGAATTGTATATCTCTTTTTTTTGCTGCTTCACGTTTTCGTTTTGCCGTAGGAAAGTGAGGTGGAATCATTTGTTAATGAACTTGCCGAAGAAGTACAAAAAAGACTTCAGTCGCTTGGCATGAAGGGCAAGTGTATAACCCTGAAGGTAAATGAGTGACTATAAGATACTGTAGCACATAGTATTGAAGTTTTACTTGTTTCAGAGATGGTTTTTCTCTTGAAAGTCAAGCAAATGACTGTCGTAAATATCTGCACGCGTCGAACAAAGAACAGGACGTGTACATTTTGTTACCCGTTTATTTGTCATTTTCAAGTTCGTATGTTGTCGTTGACTTGTTACCCATTTACACCAAAGCGTAAACATGTTTTAAAGCTGTTTTGTCAAACACGGAGTAAAATTCTTTACTTCTTGAAAGCTCTTTAATGTAACTTGTCGACTTCAAATTTAACACTGTGAAAAAGAAAGTTTGTGATTTCTTGAACCCTGTGGAAAATTCAGGTTTTCAGTTTTTTGTTGCCGATTTCATTCAGTTAAACCTGGTTAAACTAAACACCTTTTTCTGGTGTGAATAGGTATAAGACACAGAATGTATCTTCTTGGAGGTTTTGTTACCTTTTGTTTCTGGTTTTTTGTGCGATGACAATTACTTCTGCACATTTTTTTATTCTTCCCTTTATTCAGATGAAGGTACGCAAAGCGGGAGCGCCGACTCCAAGAAAGTTCATGGGTCATGGAATCTGTGATAACATCGCTCGGTCTTGCACTTTACCTACTGTCACGGATGAGGCGCAAGTCATAGCCAAACAATGTCACGCACTCCTAAAACAACTGAGTGTCACGCCAGAGGACATGCGGGGCATGGGAATTCAAGTGAGCAAGTTGAACGACAAAAAGGCTGGTACTTCCAATAAGAACACAAGATCGCTCTTTGATTTTATGAAACCTCAATCGAGTGACAATGAAGATGTTACTGAACCCTCTGCTTCTGAAAGAGCACCTGAAAACAAAGGAGAAAATCACTTTAGGTCACCAGCAGAAAGCCCTGTGCGGGAAAGAGGCGACACTGCGTTGACACTTCCACCTTTACCAAAATTCTCGCCCCAGATCGCTCTGCAAGCTCGGAATTCTAGGTCAGAGAAAAGGCCGGGCGACTTGGGAGAGAGCCTATACTTGCCCTCTCCGTCACAGATTGATCCGACAGTACTCGAGGCTTTACCTGAAGACATTCGGAGGAGTATCGAGAAATCATATGCTGCAAGAAATAAGAAAATTCCTGCGGCCAAAACAGGAAGGCAAGAGGTTGGTTTGCCTCTTTTTGTACGTTTAAGTTTATAATTGGGGCTGTATTCGTGCTGATAAGATATTTCTTTCTCCATTTGATTATACAGAGACACCTCGAATTCGTGAGGTGCTAAGGGAGTGGAAAATGTAATCGTAAAATGCGATACATCAGGATTTTCAAGATTGATCAAGATTGATTGTATCGTTGTGGGGTCGATTGTATCGTTGTGGGGTCGAAGTATGTTTTGTTTGCAATCATTAGGGGTCTCATTGTATCGAGTTTCCAATGTTGTAAATGAGGCTGTTAATCAAACTGAGCGTAGGGATATTTCTATAATCGCAGCGTAATGAAAGAAGCCCATAGTTTGACTTGTTCGACTAAATTAAACTTCACACAGAAATTCGGTAACAGATGCCGTCTGCAGGAAGACACTTTCTGTAAGCATACATGTCGTCATTGTCCAAATCACGCACCTTTCTGATTACGGGGATTCCAGCTTTTAGAGAGCACGACTGTTTTAAGTATTATTAAGGATTGATATGCTCGTGTAAAATACCAGATGAACTATTTACCTCACATTCAGGAAGATGAGACCACGCCGAGACAAATCCCTCAAAAGAATAGTATTAAAAACAAGAAGGGCAAGGCAGCCTCAAAACCCTTTCGGATTCTATTTGAAGACAATCATTTGCCAGAAGAAGGGGCCCAAAGAGCTTCAGATTTGTTGCCCTCCCCATCACAAATTGATCCGGAATTTCTCGCAGCACTTCCTGAAGACGTAAGACAGGAAATAGAACAGGCTTGTAAACAAAAAAACTTCCTTGGTGCTCCTTCTAACGTCCAAGAGGGACGCCTTGGTGATCATTTCTCAGATTTTGCATCTGAACATAAAACAGAAAGGACTTTTACGACAAGACTTCAAGCAGAGGATGTAAACAATACAAGAAAAAGTCAGATCATCGCTCCACCTAAACAGGTACCAAATTTCTGTAGCCTAGAGAATACCTCGTGATCTAACAAAATGGTCTTAGACGAGAGTGTTTCAAATTGTTTTTCTTCTCTATCGTGAAAAGAGTTACATTCGGTAACAGAAAATTCCATTCTCGAAATTTAGTTTTTTCTAATCTTATACAATTTTTTTTCGCTCTTCTACCAAAAATTGTAATCTGTATCCGTCACACGTACAACTAGTTAACATATGGCATACCTTTTACTATACTTTTCTGGGCCTTGGTATTCTAGGAGTATGTTTTCTACGCCTCAAGCAGGTTGCTTGTTTTTACTTTGTGATGTCTTTGGTTAATGATGATATTACCCTTTGTTCTGAATGGTATTTGTGATAAATATGGTAAAAGGACCGAGTGGAGTCCAATTCGGTCTGAAATCATACGAGTGATTAACAGAATTGGACGACACGAGGTCCTGTTACCAATTAATCATAACCGAAATAAAAAAAACCTTTAGGACAAACATCTCCGGTAGAGACAGTGTCTAAAGTAAATAATCCTCTATCTTAAAAATTTCCCAGTTGTTTTTCGGATGAGTGTTATTGTGATCAATTCTGTGATTTGTGGATTTAGCCGAGTGGACCTAGTATGAAACATAAAGTGAAACATAAAGCAGCTAATGCACCAATCACATTTGCGGAAATTGTAATGATTATGATTAATATGATAAAGGATTTGGTTTTAAAGCATCATTTGAAAACTACTCTAGTGGCACATTATTACGCGAAAATATAAGTACTAATTTACAAGCTTGGTGTACTACATTGTCTCGCTCCATGTTTGGCAAACATTGTTCAGTCGTCTCAAGAACGGTTGTCGTCTCAGGACAAGATTCTGTTAAATAGAATTATGATGACGACAGTTAGGAACATCTCTGGAGGAAGATTTTCTGTAACTTCTTGGAAGTTGAGATTAAGTAACTATTTGTGGCAGCCATGACACGATGTTCTTCCTCTGAGTTGTTTTTCAGTGGCCGCTTTTGCCTTCTCTCTTGACTTAGTTATCTTATAGTTTTAACCTTACAAAGTAAATGAACTTAGAATTACTTTTTAAATGTTGGTAAACGTGCTGGGCAACAAGTTACAACATTCCATCTGTTGATCGAGAAATATTGAAAGATGTTATATCCTGTGTTGCTGGCTTAGTTTGATCCTAGTGAATTACATTCTATATTCCTTGATATAGGCGCGTTTGGGAGAGGCTGTTACCCTTTGTGATGTAAAGAAAGTAATTACAGACTGGACTTCCGCTTATGAAGGTAGATTTTGCCTTGTCATCTAGTAAGACTACGAGCAGACCCTCTTATCGGTGAAGTCTGTCGCGGGAGTGAAAAAAGATCAGCGAATAAAAAAAAAGATGACGTTCAGTTGGCAAGCCGCATGGGAATCTGACCGTAAGACGCAGAGTTCTACACGGCGTGCTAATATCAATTTTATTTCCATTTATTTTTTCTGCTTGCGCGACGGACTTTGCCGAAAAGAAGAGACTGCTCGTAATTTGTCTTCTGGTAGAAGTAACAGTTACAGGTAAATAAAAAATAGAAATCGTATCTCAAACTTCTACCATCACCGCTTCTCCAACTTGCGTCATGAAGTTAACGTTTGGTCATTTGTGGGTACATTGCTCCTTAAAAGTCTATAAGTTCTTGACCTTGGATATTTTTTTCTTGCAGCTCCTTTAGAAGAAGATGTTGAAGTGTTTAGTGAGTATTTGTTACAGCTTATTGGAATGAAAAACTTAGAGCAGTTATGGAAAGTGTTAAAATTTCTCGACAGGTATTGTATTCATTTTATTATGCTTGATCTTCATTATTGATAAAGGAGACTAATTACAGTCCTTTGGGTGAAGAAACTTAAAAAATTCCTCGTCGTTGTCGCCAAGGATTGCTGTAATGCGCGAAGAAAGCACCCCAGTCATCAAGAATATCGTTAGCTGAATTGCGAGTAAGGACCTAGATAAGACTATGGCATTACGTCAGTTTTTGATACTGTGACTGGACGAGTGAATAAGAATAGAAGTCGTGTGGGGCTTGAACTAAACAACTTTGTTGAACTTACTAAATTGACTGATTTTGCGAAGGAAGGGGACATTTTCCTGTGGCTATGTCATAATAACATCCTTTTTTTGTGTGGTGTAGGAGAATCGAAGGACGTGAAGATTGGAAAAATATGTGTTGCTCCGTTTTAGAGCAAGTTCAGCACCACCTCCAGCAAAAATACTCAAGCAAGTTATCTGTTAAGTCGCTGAAATTCTGCAGCTCATGAGTTCGCTAATGTTTCATTTCACTTTACATGTGTATCGTAAGTGACGTCAACAAAAATTTTTAAATGAAAGCCGAAGGAAACAGGAAGCTGAAGATTTTTATAAAGGGGGTGAGTTTCCAAAGAAAGTGTGGTGTTAGTGGGGGGGGGGG